TCCACTGGGGTGCCTGGCCAGCCTGGTGAGGGGCTGAGGGCCATTTTCAGGCTTGCCACACCTCTTCAGGGTGGAGGTCTCCACTGGGGTGCCTGGCCAGCCTGGGTGAGGGGCTAAGGGCCGTTTTCAGGCTGGCCACACCCCCATCAGGGTGGGGGTCCCCACTGGGGTGATGGCCAGCCTGGGTGAGGGGTTGATGGCTGTTTTCGGGCTGGTCAAGGCCCCCAGTAGGGACCCTCACCCCATGGGGTTGTGGCCAGCCTGGGTGAGGGGCTGAGGGCTGTTTTCAGGCTAGCCACACCCCCTTCAGAGTGGGGGTCCCTGCTGGGGTGCCTGGCCAGCCTGGGTGAGGTGCTGAGGGCCGTTTTCAGGCTGGCCATGCCCTCTGGTGACCCAAGCTCCCAGCCTCTCCTTTTTTTCTTTTTTTCTTTTTCTGGGACTTATTTATCTTCTATAATTGAAACTTTGTAGCCTTGAGCAGAGCCCAGTGCCGGCCAGGGCAGGCAGGAAGCATGGCTTCCTCCATCGCCGGGGGCAACCCAAGCCTCCTGCTCGCTCCAGCTCCGTGGCCGCTGCCATCTTTGTGACAGAGTGATGGAGTAATGGTTAATTTGGATATTACTCTTTTATTAAGATAGGATTTTTTTTTTTTGCTTAATCCTTTCACCTATTTGTACCTTCTAGAGCAGTGGTTCTCAACCTTCCTAATGCCGCGACCCTTTAATACAGTTCCTCATGTTGTGGTGACCCCCAACCATAAAATTATTTTCCTTGCTACTTCATAACTGTAATTTTGCTACTGTTGTGAATCGTAATGTAAATATCTGATATGCAGGATGTATTTTCATTGTTACAAATTGAACATAATTAAAGCATAGTGATTAACCACAAAAACAGTATGTAATTATATATGTGTTTTCCGATGGTCTTAGGCGACCCCTGTGAAAAGGTTGTTCGACCCCCAAAGGGGTCTCGACCCACAGGTTGAGAACCGCTGTTCTAGAGACTGTATCGCAATTCAGGTTAAATAGTTATTGCTGCCTGAGAAGAAACACATCATCGACCTCAAGGAAACAACCAGAATTCTAAAAGCACCACTAAAATGTCCTGTATGATATAAAGAATTATCAATAATCGAGGAAAAAGAAAAATGCAGTTATAAAGAATTATCAATGTCTACATTATTATTACACAACTAAAGGCCTGGTGCATGAAATTCATGCACGGGTGGGGTCCCTAGGCCTGGCCGACGATCAGGGTCTATCATCAGGCCCTATCAGGGCTATCTCGCCCAGTCCTGATCGGGGCCTGCTAGATGGGGCCTGCCAGACGGGAGAGGGACCATGGGAGGCTGGCTGGCCATGGGAGGTTGGTTGTGGGGGCACACTGATCACCAGAGGGCAACTCCTGTGTTGAGCGTCTGCCCCCTGGTGGTCAGTACGCATAATAGCGACTTGTTGACTGGGTTCCGGTCGTTCGGTCATAACTGTCACTTAGGCATATATGTATATGTATATGTATATGTATATGTATATGTATATGTATATGTATATGTAGATTAGAGGCCTGGTGCATGAAATTCGTGCACGGGGGGAGGGGGGGGAGGGTCCCTAAGCCTGGCCTGCACCCTCTCCAATCCGGGACCCCTCGGGACTGCTGGCTCCTAACCGCTCACCTGCCTGCCGGCCTGATCTCCCTAACTGCTCTCCCCTGATGGTCTGATTCCCTAACTGCTCTCCCCTGCCAGCCTGATCCTCCTAACTGCTCTCCTCTGCCTACCTGATCGCCTCTAACCGCCTCTGCCTCAGCCCTGCCACCATGGCTTTGTCTGGAAGGATGTCCAGAAGGTTGTCTGGAAGATGTTCAGTCTAATTAGCATATTACCCTTTTATTAGTATAGATGCCACCTTGTCCTAAAAAT